AATTTATTTTTTCCATTAATTTTCTACTTCATTTGGATTTGTTTTGTTTAATCGTACCTTTCGTATTTTATTTTATTTTTAAAATTTTTAACCTTTTTTAACCGGGGGGTCAAAAAAGTGTTAAAAAAATTTTAAAAATAAAATTTTTTTTCGACAGGATTTAGGAATTTTATTGTTGTAATCAAGATATGCAACCAATAAGATTACAATAGAGATGTTACATAAGAAATAACCAAAAAAGGAAATACCTATGTTCGCCAAAAGCATATGCTAGGGCATTGGCCTATGTTGGGAAGAAACTCTCAAATTATTTGTCATATGCACAATTTGCAGCCAACAATAGCGTAGCTACCAGGGCACTCGTTGTTCCTTCTTACACCACTGTAAGGCATCACCCTCCACCATACAAAACTGCCTCATTAGTTTTTCGTAAGTGATTGTATACAATGAGACCATTTATTTTCAGATATCACAATTACTTACAACCATCCGATGTGAAATCTGATAGCTTAGGTGTGTCACAAGGTTTGACAAATTTTTTTTTAAACTTTGAGCTTGATCAATAAAATAAATACATCTACCCATTTCACATCTAATGGATAAAATTAATTATGATTACCTTGTACCGTTGGTAAATGGTTTCATCCTATACTTTCCCTTTCATAAACCAATTTCAACCCGTGTAACACAACACTTTTGCTACAGTTGTACAATATGGTCTCTGACAATATTCTGAGTCTCTTTTTTGGCGATCTGATCAATGCTACAAGGGGAGATTAGGCGATCTAAATGTAGCCTGTCTTTCTTTTTTCCTGTTCCTTCTTTTTTTATTTTTTATTTTTTGATTTTTGACATTAGAGGGTCGCACTTATATAAGACCAACCCGCACCTACCTATCGACAAGGGAAACCAACCCGCACCTACCTATCGACAAGGGAAAGTGAAATAGTGATGCCACTCAAGAATAAGTGTGGCATACATCATCTGATACAGCTTACATACCCATGTATCGTGCATGCATCTTATACAGCTTACATAACCATATATCACGCATGCATGTATGCAATATTTATTTTTAAGGGATTGTACACTTTTATATTATTTATCTATATTACGAGGAGGTTCCAACTATTTATGGTTATTAGATTTCAAATCGGATAGTTTGGGGTGTATCACAAAGTTCGATAGTTTTCTTTTTTTTTGAACTTTGAGTAGAGCCAAAGACACTCCTATAACCACCCAATTTGAAATCTAATAGAAAAGAGTGATTATGACCTCCTTATACCAAACGTAAATGGTTTTTTTGTATATTTTTTTAATCGCTTAAAATCTCCCTATATGTCCACTGCAAATTGGAAGAGCAGTGTTCGGAAAATGGGACTCACTGGAACCTTGAAGGGCGTGGACTTCGTCAATCTCGTATGGGCATACAAGGTTTACCCTGAGTTGGCAATGTTGCAAACAAATAAAAAAATAAAACAAAAATTTGAGGAAAAGTAAAAATAAAGAAAGAATAAAAATCATAAAAATAAAAATACCTATATTCAAAATGAAAAATAATAAAATTTGATTTTGTTGGCATCTGTGAACTATAAAATTGGTCGTTTCTTAAAATTTCGGGGTAAAAGCCTTTGATTCAATAGATAACTCAAAATAGGCATTTTGAATAAAGGAGGTCATTCCCCCTCCCCTCTCCCTGTAGTCTTTTATATTGCAAAAAAGTGTATGCTTTGTCAAGTTATATTATGCTCGTTTTGTCTCTTAGAAACCCACCAAGTCAATATCAAGTCTGTCACAAGGTTAGAGGTGGTGGGGAGTGCGAGTTGGATGTTAGGCTCGACAAGTTGCCAAGTAAATGCCTTTTAAATTTTATGTGGTCCATTTTTCATATCTATCGCGAGGCCAACATGGTTGTAGATACATTTGTCAAAAAGGCTGCGGCCTCCTCTAATACTACGGTTTGGTATACTAGACCGTTAGACTTTATTTCCTTTTCTTTACTTCATAACTTGGCACAAACGCTTTATTGCAGGTCTTTACTTCATAACTGGGCACAAATGCTCTATTGTAGGGTTGTAAAATCATGATTTGTATTTCTTTGTCTTAATTAATGAAAAACCAGATAGAAGGCATTCTCTCCAATTGATGTACCCAAAAAACAGTTGCAATGAAAATTAGGTGAGTGTAAGTTGGATTCATAGTAAATTGGGCGAGCCTGATTTAGATTCATTGAGTTTTTAAAGAACGCATAAGAGCAAAGAGAATATCAGAGAGGGAAGAGAAGAAATGTATAGCATGTGCATGAGTTCTTTGAAAGTGACTAAGGAAGGAAGATGATTTTATTTTTGTGTGTATAATATTCATTTTTAAAATGGGTTAATCTATAAGGTATATTTTCCTAAATTCCAAATATCAATGAGGTAGTTCTATAAAAGTTTTAAAAATTCTTGAGGTAAGTTCACATATTTTAATTATATTAGTGGCATTTTTTAATGGGTGTGGTTTGTATAAAGTTGAGGCCCTAAACAATCAAAGTAGGCACACCTTCAACGAAAGATTTTGTTTTAGTACTGGAAATCTTTGTAATGGCCTACAAATTTATTTTCATGTCTAGTCATAAAATTTAAAGCTTCAAAAATAGTGTAGATCGAATCGATCTATGAATAATTGAAAAGTATTGAAATTGGCTCTCCAAAAAATACACTACAATATGCATTACTTCCTGTACTTGAAATCGTTTTTTCTCAAGTTCATATAACTTGAGGATGAGATGATCAATTTGAGTATTTTTTAGCATCGAAACAACCTCTTCTAGTGAATTTTTGATGTATGCTTTAATTTGATTGTGTAGGGCCTCACCTTCATGTAAACGTTTTTCTTTTTTAATTATTACTGATACATCCACAAAAATTAAATAAGATTACGACTTTGAATTGCTCTCCATGCTATTTTTTTCTTCCAACTTTTCTGGAAAGAACGAGTAGGTTTAAAATTTGTAGATGATCTATCTTTCCATATTCAATTCTTAATATCTTTTCATGAGCATATTCAATGAGTCAAGGAAAACATTTCTACAAGTGGGAGGCTCTAAACAATCAATTCAGTGCACACTTAAAAAATGTCATTAGATGGGGTTGTTTTGATGCCCAAATGTCTTCAAATTGATTATCTTGATCTCAAGATGTATGGACATGAGAAAAAAAAAAGAATTTCAAGTTTTGGAAATAGTGTATCTTACATTTTTGGACCGTCAATTTTCAAGATTTTCAAGTTTACGTAGATATGCTCGATCTACACTATTTTTGAAGCTTTAAATTTTATAATTAGAGATGAAAGTATATTTTAAAGCTATCATAAAAATTTCCAGTATTGAAACCACATTTTTTGAAGCAATGTCTATCCCAAGTCCGATATTCTTGCTTTTAAAGTGTAAATTAATAATGGACTTAAAAATCCTTCCAAAAGTTTCAATCATTTCCGAAATATTCTACATATAAATTGCTATAAATTTGAATATTTTATAAATTAAGAAAATTAGTAATTTTATTTTTTGGTATAAGTTAGTTAAACATACAAAACAAAATTAAAATTCTAAACTCAAAAGATATAAAAAATAGAATAAATTAAGTTATTGCTTCATACAAAGCACACACCATTGACTAATTAAAAGGTATGCCATTCAGTTTGAAGCATTGTTTTAAGGGCAAGCTTCTATCCTCCCCTACTACCCAAAACTTAAATGATTTTCTTTACCTGACGATCCATTCCGAATAGACAGCCGAGATGGCTCTAATCACAATGTCACGTCTCTACATTATTTTATTTGTTTTTTTTACAAACTATTTTGACACCAAATTTTGGGCATCCACTTCTCTTTTAATGCCTTATTTGTAAAAATATAAAAAAAATATTATCAATAAATTAAAATAACTAAAATACCCTTGAAAGATTCAATGGAGATTTGATTATTATATTGTATTGAAAAATTATTTTTAATTTTTTTTTTAGGTGTGCTCCATTATATGATGCGTACCAAATTTCATATTCATGTAATTTATAAAAAAAAACCAAAAAATAAAATACTCTGTGAAGTCGGATCTAGATGAAACAGTCGGTGGCTCAGTTGATTTAAATTGGATGGCTGAATGGGTGGGAAAACATATATCTTATACAGTTGGGGAAGTATAAAGACATTTCCCTTGTTTTTAAAACCCAGTGGGGTAGATCATTCACTTCATAGATCTACATCGGATCACTATATTGGTTATCCAGATCGATCTAAACCAATGATATAAACATTATCATTAAATAAATAAAATTGTTAAAATTAAAATAAGAGTTAATAGGGATGGGAATTTTAAAGGACGTAAGAAAATATTAGATAATATTTTAAAAAATATATATTAAAAGTATCTAGGGGAATTGAGCTTCGAAGCATACCATCTTAAAACTGATTCAATCCCGGCCGATTCTCTATCCAAATGGAAGATTCGGATCAAGAACACTAAGGTTTTAAACACTAGTTTGAAGTTAAATGGTAAGGGTAGTTGAAGTTAAACCGGAAGGCCACGGTAGAAGGAGCCGAATATGATTACACCAGTTTGAAGAGTAGGCAAAGGGAACATGCTAACATTTGATTTCGTTAAGAGAAGAAATACGGTTGTGTTTGTTTTTAGCGGTATTAAAACCCCGCGATTTCCTATCTCGGTCCTCCATCCAGATGCAGGACCAGTCAAGACTGAACCGATTATGGGTTCTGACCTGGTTCCCCCTATTTTTATTTTTTATTTCTCTTTAATCTTATCTAATGCTATTTGTGGCGCATCCTAAATGGTTAACCCATAAATTTTTATTTTTATTTTTATTCTATCCATTTAGTTTTAATTTATTTTTTGGATCATTGATCCAAACTATTTTGTTTGTTTTCTAAATAACCTATAATATTTTTTAAATAAAAACCACAACATGCAATTGAGATATGAGATGTGATATTACGAGGACCTCGACCCCTCTCCGAGGTCGGTCATTTCCCCCGCATGGAGAGCAGAGGGTCCTATATTTTCGCTAGTAGCTAATAATTCTCGGCCTTTGCTTTCTCACTCTCTCTCTAGACTCTAGCTCCCCAGCCTAAACACATTCATGTGAACTCTCTCTCTCCCCACCTGCTCCAGCATTACCTGGTCAAAAATGGCTCACCACTGCGAGTCCAAAAGCCCTTTGGCCTCTTCTCTCTACTCTACTTATTTCCTGCTACTTTCTCTCTCCTCTTCCCAGAAATCCCAAGCCTCTTCACTCTCTCACCAACTCTCAACAACAAAAAACCAATTTCTTTAAGGTTGAGCTTCTTCAACCCCTTCCCTTCCCTTCCCTTCCATGGCCTCACCCACCCTGAAGTTCCTCTGCTTTCTCCTCCTCCCCTTTCTCTCTCTGAAACTCCCCTCCTCTTATTCCCAAAACTTCATCTACAATGGTTTCGATAATGCCAACATAACCTTAACAGGTTCATCTCAGATCAAAAGAAGTGGAATTCTTCAACTAACCAATGTTACATCAGGGCTCATAGGCCGTGCCTTTTACCCTGAACCTCTCCAATTCAAGAACTCGAACCGTGTTTCCTCTTTCTCCACCTCCTTTGTCTTTACAATTGTGCCAATTATCCCAACCAAAGGTGGCCATGGCCTGGCCTTCACAATTTCTCCGTCTACATCCTTTCTCGGAGCTTTTGCGAAGCAATACCTCGGCCTTTTCAACGTGACCACCATCGGTAACTTATCGAACCATATCTTTGCCGTCGAATTCGACACAGTTCAAGACTATGAGTTTGGGGATATCAATGACAACCATGTTGGGGTTGACATCGACAACCTTAATTCAACTGTGGCTGCCCCTGCTTTTATCAAATTGGCCAAAAATGGCATCATCACCACCACAAATGTGACCTTGCAAGGTGGTAACCCAATTCAAGCCTGGATCGAGTACGATTCGCCTTCGAAAGTCCTCAACATCACACTCTCTTTGTCCTCTGATAAGCCTCAAATCCCCTTGATCTCGACCGAGATTGATCTCTCTCCGGTCCTTGAAGACTACATGTATGTTGGTTTCTCCACTTCTACTGGTGTCTTGGCGAGTTCCCACTATGTCTCAGGCTGGACCTTTCGAATGAATGGCGAGCCACAACCCCTTTTTCTCTCTCGCCTTCCTCTTCTTCGAAACACGAAGAATATCACGCAGAGCAAAGGTTTCATAAGTGGGGTCTCAATTTCTGTAACTCTTTTGGTTTGTGCTGCCATTGCAGCTTCTCTGTATATAGTATGGAAATTGAAGACAGCAGATATTATCGAAGAATGGGAGTTGACCTCTGGCCCTCATAGATTCTCTTACAAACAGCTTCGAATGGCCACTCGCAGTTTTAGCAGCAAAGAGTTGTTAGGATTTGGTGGATTTGGAAAAGTTTACAGAGGAGTTTTATCAGGCTCAAAGACCGTGGTTGCAGTTAAGCGTGTTAACCATGAATCGAAGCAGGGATTGCGTGAGTTCGTGGCCGAGATCGCGAGCGTCGGACGCATGAGGCACCGCAACCTGGTTCAGTTGCAGGCATGGTTCAAAAGACTCTGAAATTTTGGTTATAACAGCCGTTATATTATAATGAACTCCCTGCCGTTACATTACAATGAAAACATGTAATGGTATGGCTCTTAACTCGCCGGCTGGCCCATCCATGGCCTTTTGGGCTTTAACTGTGGGCCTTTTGGGCTTTAACTGTGTAGACCAGGCGTGCGCGCAGCTTGGGGTTGAAAACCCAGGGTGTTTGATTGGTGGAACTATTTGAAAATGGGACTTCCAAGTTCTACCAAAAAACACGCCCGTGTTTGTTGTAATCACTTGGAAGCCTCAAAATGGAAGCAGTGCATTCCGCCGTGCTGTGTTTGTAACACCAAAATTGGGGCTGGCAATGGTTTGGGTGGCCTGGCCCGTCTGGACTAGCCCTAAAAGAACTACGGCTTACAAAATATGTCCAGTGGCCCGGCCCGGCCCAGCCATCATAAGAATATGGTCGGGCCAAGGCCAACGTTGGCCCTACCCATTGCCAACCCTAGTCAAAATGGGTGTTTCTTTGGGGGCCAATCCTTCCATGCAAAAGGATGGATGCGATGGCTTCGACCCCGTCTTCCTGAAACAAACACAGCCGTAGTTTAGGTTATTGCCCGGTCCATGATAACAAGATTTGAGACTAGCCTTATTGGAAAAGATTGAGTATATATAAATATGAAATCTTTTATTAGGGTTATGTTAGGGTGCTTAAGGCATTTGTATTTGTACTTAAAAAATTTTAGATATTTATATATCTTTATTTTGTAAGATGATATTTTTTTAATAAAATATTTAAATTATTAAGAGTGGTTTGAAATTATCCCTATGAAGATGTCACATCGTCCATATAGAACATTAAATGGTGTTCCCTATGAGTGATGTCCTATCCACATGGATGATGTTACACATCTTTTAAAGACAATATATTTTTACTAAAAATAATAATCGTTGTGCAAGAGAAAGGTAAATAAATGTCTAAAATTGATATAAAAAGCAGAGTAACATAAACCTTGTTTATATGTACAAAACATAAAAATATTTGCGGTTGGCTAAGGTCGGGCCTGGTCTAGCCCAGTCCCAGCCCAAAAATATTTTTGTCTGCTAAGACGAGCTCAGGCGTGGCCCGCAAGCCTTAAGAAGTAGGCTAGACATGAAAATCTGTTAACTCGGTCACGCTCATAGGAAGTTTGGGAAAATTGTTCCAGTTATAAAAAAATTACAACGCCGTTTTCAAGTATAATGGCCTTAAAAATAACAGGCACACTTTTAATATAACGGCTTCCACGTAACAGTGCCATTGTAGTGAATATAGCAGTCTTCACAATGGTGTGTAATCTAACGCCTATTACTCTTTCACAATAACTTAGTTTACATCCACTAGGATACCCTTATTTATCAAAATTTAATAATTTTTTGATAAATAAAAATTCCAGCTTTACCCAACCCTTTCTTAAATAGCAAATATTGTGTCATTTTACAAATTTAACTATGATTTGCTTTCTCTTCTCTTTTTTACATTAATTGTAAGCTATATTGTGTCATTTTACATAGGATTCATAAAAAATTTTGTGTCATTTTACATAGGATTCATAGAAAATTTTCACAAAGTTTTATGTCTACCTAATACAACCTACTTCCTTTACTCGAGCTTGGAACATATTAACGGAAAGTTTAAAGTCCTCACTCTTCTTAAACCAAATAATTGCAGGGGTGGTGCAGGCGAAGGGGTGACCTACTGCTTGTGTATGACTACATGCCCAATGGTAGCCTTGATAAATACATCTTCGAGCCACAAGAAGGCTCTGTATTGAGCTGGGCTCAGCGCTACAAGGTAATCAGGGGCGTGGCAGCAGGGCTCTTGTATTTGCACGAAGAGTGGGAACAGGTGGTCCTGCACAGAGACGTGAAGGCCAGTAATGTATTGTTGGACGCTGACATGAATGGAAGGTCAGTGTTGAATCTTTCAATTCTCTCTTCTTTTTCCTTGAGGAAGTTGCATGATTTCTATTTTTGGAAAAGTTTATAATGAGACCATTTATCTTTGGTACAAAATGGCCTTAATTAATTTTGACCATTGTAAAGATGATTACATTTATTTTATTGATCAAGATCAGACTTCAAAAAAAGATTTCTCGATATGCAACACATCCAAGCTATCATATTTCACGTTAGATAGTTGTGCTAATTGTGACCTCCTTGTATCAAAGGTAAGTGGTCTCATTGTGTACAATCTTTTTGGGTTTTGCTTGTTTAGATTAAAGCAATTTTATGATTTCTCTAGTTCTTGGTATGCTTTATATCTCACTTCTCCTTGTGTAATCTATTTTATTGTTTTCCGTCTGTTTGGATGTATTTGGATAGGATATACTTCCTTATGAAATTTTTAAATCACTTCATTAACTCTAACACTATTTATTTTTACACCCATCCTTGTAAATCAAAAAGTAAATATTATGATAAAAAAACCCGTCTAAACCCATGTTTCTCTCATTTATCAAATGAAGCCAATCCAGCACATGCTGTGCTGTATAATAAAGCCAGTTTGACGCATAGTTTGCCGATTTGGCTTCTAGGTCCTATTGAAGCAACCAACTTAGATTTTTTTTTCCTTGAGAGAGTGAGGAGGGCATGGGTTTATAGGAAGCATTTATGTCTATAAACAATTCTTTATTTAGTTGAAAGGTGGGTGCAAAAATAAATAATACTAGAGTTAGTGTTATGGTTTAAAAGTTAGTTTTTTTAAAAACATGTTTAAAAATTGGTTCAAAGGGGTATCTATAATTTTTCCTATAATAAACAGAAAAAAATCTCATTATCGTTCCTTGTTGAACCACAGGCTAGGTGACTTCGGGCTGGCACGGCTATATGAACACGGGGCAAATGCGTACACGACTCACGTGGTAGGAACCCTTGGGTACCTTGCACCCGAGCTTTCGCGCATAGGGCGATCGACCACCAAGACTGATGTCTATGCCTACGGTGCTCTCCTTTTGGAGGTGGCTTGCGGGCGAAGGCCAATCGATGCCAAGGCCCCACCAGAGGAGATGGTTTTGGTAGATTGGGTATGGGATTGCCATGCAAGGGGGCAGATTGTTATGGCCGCGGATTCGAGGCTGAGGGGATTGTATGATATGGGTGAGATGGAGGCCGTGTTACGTCTTGGGCTTTCTTGCTCGAGTTCGGCACCAGAGGCACGACCTAGCATGAGGCAGGTTGTGCAGGTGCTTGATGGGGATGCTCCATTGCCTGAGCTGGGATTGGGGCAGGTTAATAATGATAATGCTAGCAGGAGAGTGTACGTTGAGGACCATGTGCACTCGTATCCTTCCTCAATGGACCAGGGCTCATTCGCGTCGAGCGGAGGAGGGGGCACCGGGGGAGGAGTACCTTTGTCACCACTATCGTTGTCGTTGTTGTCTGAAAGGGCTGGGCGGTGATAACCATTGTGTATAAGTTTGTTTCATTATGTTTCTTTTTGCCTCAGCTTTGCCCCTTTTCTTTTTTTGAATTACATGCTGTATTAGTTTTATCTTTTTTCAGATATATATTATATATTTGATGTATATGCGTAGGATTTGTCTAGAGTTAACAACCTTTCAAAATACAAAAGTTAAAGTTAGAAAGGTTGTGATGCGTATTTTAAAAAAAAAACATTATTTTTTGTTTTAAAAAATATTTTACTAGGTAACTTAACCATTATGCAAGAGTAAATTTGAAATTTTTATAAAATTACAATAGCATTTTGGAAGTTAGTGTTCTGAAATTTTATTTGTAGTGTTTTTTTTTTTAGTAAAAAATTCAACTTTATTGTTTATGAAGATGACAAAATTACCCATAGTCTTGTAGTAATATTTACAAAACTGCTTTTACTTAATGCCTTTACTTAATATTTACAAAACTGCCTTTGCTTAAAAAATAAACTATAAAATTAGTAAATTCACCCTTCACAACTCTCTCTATTTTTAGCCGTTGTAATTTGAAGGGTTGTGAAGTTTAGATTATCCCATATGTATATTATGGGGTATCCAAGCTAATCCCATATATATGATATGGGGTACCCAAGCTAGCCATCATCCATTTTCCGCCTTCATCGCATGATAACTACTTTGTACCAAAGATCGGATGATAACTACCTTGTACCAAAGATATCGAGCTTCGAGTTGTACACGTGCTCTAGCGAGGGGCACCTCACTTGTCGATGTGAGCTTGTACCGTCAAGCACTGTTGTGTTGATGCACACACGTGCGCTTTCTGCACATGCACTATCTCTCTCACCTTTATATTAAAAGTTTAAGGCATGAAAATGCCTACATTTAAATATTATTCAATGTATACTCTCCACTTCGATGTGGAACTAAAAACTCACAGCTTTCTCTCGCTACAAAATATAGTTTAGGAAAAACAACTACAAAAATGATACTGTTATTTTGAAATACACAAGTATTTTTCAAAACAAAAAAAACTTACAAATAAAATATGAAGAAAAAAAAAACGACTTTTTATTGATCTAGACCTTGCCTGATATATCTTAGAAAGGGCAGTATACCCCATCCAGTAAAAAATGCATAATATCATAGGAAGTTGGGGATCTTGAGGGCTATAGTTGATGCTATATATAGGTGAGATGTGTTGAGC